CTTCAAAATTAATTCACGCGACAGATAACGATCTCCATGACACCTCAGCCCATAGTGACTTACAAGTCATTACTGCTGGAAGTTGGAAATACTACGGAGATAGTGGTGATCATACCCAAAATCATCAGACATCTCCCAGCTTGATTTCACAGGACTACTGCAGAATCACCCGTACCGAAGCATTACACATTTGAGCTTTTACACTCCAGCTAACCTCAGGACAGTGCAAAAGGGGACCTAGAATTCTACCCTTGCGTTTGATATGCAGCTGTAAATTTTATCAGTCACACCTCCTTCAACAATCACAAAACTACCCAAATACACAAACTTTTCAATAATTCTCAACGCTTCGTAGTGTAGGCTGAGTGCAGGTACAAGCTTCTACTTGTCTTTTAGAAACATGTTGAACTTCGGTGTTGCAAAGTAAATACCATGTAGACAGTCATCGCTAACTGACTGAGCGCGATTTGAACAGCTTGTATCTTGTCGCACAGTGAAACGTTATTGACCGCATACTTGAGGTCGAGTTTTTCACCTAGTAACAAGTTTACACAACACACCACTTTCACAACTATCTCAATAATGCCATTGATGGCAGAATTAAGAGAAATGGGGAAATCAAGTAGCCCTGTCTAACTCCACCGTTAGTCTGAAATAACAGAGAAGTATCTGTATGTACTCATTTCACCAAAGGTGTTAAAGTACAGAGTCCACGAGATGTTAAAAAACGTCTTAGGTCTACATCTGACTAATGTTTTGCCTCCATCCTTAAAAACAGCCGGGTGTATGCTTTGTGGACTGGATCCCCTAGAGTATTTTAGTACTCTAAGTTTCTGATACAACTTCACTTATTTAGTGGGTCGATTTTAAATAATCATGAAGTAAAAGATACTGAAGCCGATGTTTCCAAGGCACCCACGAAAAGTGGTGATCTGTAAACTGACTACTTCACTGACGGGGGGCTTGAACGAGCTGGAAAAACTTCCGACAATTGCTTAATGCAACTGCTCCTTCTGTCTCAGTCACCCGCTTTCACCAAATCGCCTAGCAGTCTGTATGCAACGTTCAATCATGTTTTCTACAGGTTAGATAGCCTGCCTTCAGTTTAGCTAGATAAAGCATTTAATTGTAGTACAAGGTGCAACAACGAGCCTTCTGTATCCAAGCTGATATTTCAAAAAACCAGTCAGTTCGGGTTGATGCGACTCCTCAATTAAGTGAAGTGAGACATATTCCACCACCGCATTCTGTACCATTAAACAGAGAGTAGTTGCAGATTAGTCCCGAAGCATCTCCTTATATTTGACATGTGCGAAACGCACGCCAAACATACTCAGTAATCTACTAAAGGCGTTCAGAAGACCCCACATTTTGTCAGCATCTTTCTTCACAGAGTAGGACAATATCTTCTACCTACTTCAAGTCAACCAGATGGCCTTCAGGAGCAGATCGATTTATGTGGATTCAGAGGTACGTAAGGTTATGTGGATCACTACACACATAACGAAATTAGACAGGAACAGTGACAGAAAGCATTCGTGGTGGACACTATCTGAGACAAAGACTTCTGATAACCCCTTACACACCTGCATAAATCCGAGTAGAGGGCTTTGGATTGGCAGTATACACCTGTTCAGTATTCCTTTTACAGTAAAACTGGTACAACACCTCAAGGTTGACAGGGTCGAATACCGCTGTCAGGTTAAAAAAATATGGTAAGAGTCAGCCACCGATGAGTCTACCTGCGTTCCAAGACCTGTTGAATGGTGAAAATCTGATAGGTGCATGCTCGTCTAAGTCTAAAACCTGCCTGGTATTCTAGAGTTTCTTGATTTCGAGCTCCAGTTGGGCATTAGATATCTATGGACCCAAGGATCTTGGACCTGATATTAGCTTAAATGATTCCCTATGGTTGTCACACCAAGACTTATCCCCTTCTTATAGACTAGAATGATCGGTGAAGTAGACCAGTCTGATGGAACTACCTATAATTCCCATACACTATCTAGCACCTCCGTAACTCCCTTCTTCCATCCTTCAAAACTTCTGATATCACAGCATCAGACCATACTGCAATGCAGTTACAGGTTTGAAACAGCCTTCTCAACGTCGACAAGAGTTAGAGAGCAGAGATCTACGTCCATCTGAGGTTCGGGCTTCATGCTGGGCATCTCAAGCGTTACTGTGGGCCAGCTGAACTATGCTTCAAAGTATTGCACCCAACGTTGTAGCCACCTCTCGTGAGAGGTTCCCAGAGTCCCATCACCTTGCCAGTATCCTTGACTAGTATGAGTAACTGTACTGTACTACCTAACACTGAGGCTTTCTCTCGTTCGTTCGCTCTCGTCACTCACCACTGCTCATGATCATTATGCAGACCCTCGGTCAATTCACGATGGGCTGCTTTGCCTCTTCAACATGGTTAGAGCCAGGTGCAATAAGTCTTCTTGCATCAGTTACTTCTGATGAGGTTTCAGAAATGTGTTGAGGCTTGGTAGCCTAAGGATCTAGGTTACCAACCGCCTTCGTCGCTCTTACTACGGCAAACTTAATATCATGCCAGGTTTCCTCAGGATGAAGATTGCTGTCACGTACAGATAAACGCTTGGCTATCTCCTCCCTATATAAGTACTTGATCTTCTCACCTTCTAATCGAATGTGTGACGGCTTAATAGCCCTTAGCTTCCGGTAACCAGTAAGGTGCAAACCTACATGTGCCAATACTGACGCGTGATGGGAGTCCAAATGCGTACTCCAGAAAGAGTAGTAATCCTCCACCGATCCTCTTCAATGATGACTTGTAGCAATATGATTTATCTGTGTCCGTCGTTGACCTGATGTCGGCGTACCCCATATAAGATAATATATCTCTCCTTATGCTGAAAGTTAGTGCTGGTCAGAAACAAGTGATCGTTGGAACAAAATTGCTAGAGACTACCATCATTGTCGGTTCGTTGGTATGAGACTGCGTGGATACCTCCAAGACTCCTTTCCGACTGGCTTAGCTTTTCTACTTGGGAGCTGAAGTCACTTGATAATATGACAATATCTGGACGCTTCGCTTTGTGCAACGAAACTGGCAGTTTCGGATAGAATTCATCCTTTGCATCACCCGAACTGGTGATGATGAGCACGTGGGCGGATATCATGAATAGGCACAGGTGAGTTTCACGAGTCTTCCTAATTCCTAGAGATCCATTCAATGAGACAGAAAACGGGTGGTTGCTAACTAGTATCCAGTCGAGAAGTGCGCTTTCAGCTTGTTCTGTAGCTTAATACAATGCCTACCCCGATTAAGTCTATAGGAAGCAATCATCGGATTTTCAGATACTTGTAAAAGGAATTTTGAAGATTCACCACATTGGTTGGGTGAGATCAAGTGAATATCCACGTCTCAGAAATACAGCATACATCCATGGTTCGAGATCCCAGAGTTCTGGCAAGAGACGTCTATTTCTTGATTCGGCATAGAATTCGAACGTTGAAAGCTCTAGTGTGAAATTGACATCGTGGTGTTGGAGTACTAGGAATGTTGTTTTGTTGGCCTGGATAGCTTGTAGTGGTCAAAGAGTGAGAGGGTGGTCAATTTGCAGGAAGGTTATTTCTGGTATTAGGAGACAACAGCAAAGAGGATAGATGATTGAATTTTGTGGATTGTTGAGGTGTGTAAGCGATTACTACTTTTCGTTAGCTCCCACCCTGTTGTTTCTGCATAGTGTGTATAAGCGCAAAAGGAATATATCTGCATAGCCGCTGAGCACATGGGGCATCTGCTTGACGCCTGTCACACATGGCCTTTTTAGGATCGTTGTTTTGAGATTTGACTGTGCTAACCACAGACAACGAGAACCAATACCACTGGTACGGGAATATTGGAGACAGAGAGGAATTAGCTATTTGAAAGGCCAATCTTTTTGAACCCCTTCTTTCTTTTCATAGGGGAAACATGGTACTGCTAGTCAACCATGAGAAATACTTTGCTGCTGTCACACCCCGTTCAGGCAGCGGAACGACTTCGTCTTCTAACCCCATGATAACGTAACTATTTACATTATGATGGGATCTGCATTCACTCTAACCATTATACCAGGAACCCCCTTCGGTATGGTGGGGTATCAAATAACAATAGTTTCATACAGCACAGCTCGTTGAGTTATTATTATATGAAGCTTTACTATTACGTCAAGGTAGCAGCTATCCGTCAGGGACTTCAACTTCAGGTTGATCGTGTTTGTGATCTGAACACTAGTAAAAACCAGTCTTATGAAAACTAGCTTCTCAGATTTGATCATTTCACAATATCCACCATACTTTCTAATGAATCATCCAAGGTAGCCATTTGCCTGAAGTCATTTCTTGACTACTAAATACTACTTTTTAGTTTATCTACTTAACACAACTTTTCAGCAGTATTGTAGGTTAATGTTACTAACTTTTCACTTTGAGTTATAAAAGCTAATTTATTGGTTGCAAATTAACAGTCGTCTTTACCAGTCTTTTTACTGTAGATTGAACAGCAGGTGAAGCTGAATTGGGATGAGAATCGTTATCATGTTTCAATAAACATCCAATCAGTTCTTATTTCATCAAGATTTGATACTTTTATCTTCTAAAAAAGTGTGGACAGAATTTCAAATAATACGTTCATTACTCCCAATCATATGTACATATACGTGGGACTAAATCAATGTAAAATCAGAGTTCAAGCAACTACTATGAAAGTATGATAAGCTTCCATTTACTTTTCATAACAATTACTAGCATAATATGGCCTATCGGTGTGTGCCGTTGACTTCTTGCCGGCAACTACCACCAAACTGGTAACACTAAAGCAAGTTTGGTGCTTATGCCAATGGCCACTGATCCTTCATGAATCTCCATTAAACAATAATTACTCTACAACACATGACATATGAAATAAGTTTGCACACGAAAACCTGTTAGCTATTCTGTGAGTAGAAAATTACTGTTTTACAACTAAGTGAGAATTCACAACTTACCTTTCCAGCTTTGCAATTAATTGCAACAACATTTGCAGGGTCTTGACTTAGAAATTCATTTACATCTTCACATAAGGCAATAATCTGTTCAAATTGTGGGGCGTTATGATCGGAGAATGGGTATTTTGCTACAGGCCCATCGAAACGATAAACGTTAAAATCCCTTTCATCACATCTATATAACAAGGAAAATAATAAAAACAAAAATTATGGCTAATATGTACATTATGCAAAAGCCATACAGTCGGTAAACATACACATCATGGAAAACTTTGTCAGCATGCTTCAGTCTATATCTTTTAGATATCTTTATTAGTAAGATCTAATCATGTTTGGCTCAGCTGAAAAAGAAGGGGTTTACGTGTTTGTTCATGAATGTTGATCCTTACATAACCAAGCCTCTACATATGATAATAATTATAAAAGTGAACCACCTACGTCGGTATTGTCATTGAATTCGAACATGCGTGTGTTTCTGAGAATCAAATTAACATGTACTGTACCCTTATTATAATGTCTAGTAGGACACTATCATATTAGATGATGCAAAGCACCAGGACCTGATAGTTTGTCACCCAAAGTGTTCAAGAATGGAAGTAGGAAATCGCTAATTAAAGTGACGGAGGTACTAAACAGTGTATGTGAATCAGAGGAGTGCCATCACACTGGTCTGCTTCACTGGTCATTTCAGTCTATAAGGGGGAGAAATCCTCTTGTGACAACCATGGGGGGAATTAGTTTGAACGATATCATGTCTAACACCCTAAGGTCAACAGTTATCCGATAACTAACTGGAGCTCAAGAACAGTAAACTTAAGAAAATCAGGCAGGTTTCAGACTTGCATGAGGGTGCATAGACCATATTTTTACCCTATGATAGTTCTGGAACACAGGTATACCTACCGACCCGTGGTTGATACTTGCCACATTCCTAGACCCGAAGGCGGCATTTGAGTGTGCCAACTGTGAGTTATTATGGCAGTGTCTGGCTGTGAAGCGAGTATCGAGGAGGTATACAAAGTTAATCAAAGCTCTCTACTCGAACTAACGCAGCTGTATCAAGGGTAAAGGAGAGTTGTCATGTGAATTGACGGCTAGTGGTGTCCTCCAGGGATGCCCGCTGTCGCCATTGCCATGTAACTTCGTCGTAGACGAACTAATGCACATGATCTTAGATACACCTGACCTTATAGGGACTGACTTACTTCCTGGAGACCGTCCGAATTATTTAAAGCACCAAGACGATATAATCCTGCTAGACGAAGATGCTAGGGGAATTCAGGGTATTGTGAACGCGTTTAGTAACCTGAGTATGTTTGACATGCGTTTCACTAGCACCTGTTAAATGTAAAATATTCCAGTACTGATCTTCAATCACTCCCAGTTAAATGATGGAGAGTAAAGTAGTGGAATTTGTTGACCACTTCACCTACTTGAGCAGTTGCATCAGTCCGAAAGGAGTGGTTGCTGAGGCAATTTCAGCTCGGATACAGAAACCCCGTTCGGCATTTGCGAACATACGTCATCTGTGGTGCCGACTATCTATCAAAGAACGAGTGTACTGCGCTGTAGTTCGTTCTGTCCTTTTGTATGGCTGAGAGATATGTTCATTAGTGGGATTGCTCACGTTTGGTGGGATCACTGTCTGAACGATGTTAAGGTCAGGCGAAAGTTAGTGGGAAGATAACCAAGTCGATTGACGAAGTTGTGAAGCTCGATCGACTGAGATGAAATGGATATGTACTGTGCATGCCGAGCGACCGCTCATTTTGAGGTGTCATGCTGGGGGAACTTGGACTAGTTTTGAAAGGGGTTCAGGGAGGCTAGCTCAAACATGGCACCAGTTTATGAAGTCCCCGACTGTTTGTCTGAGCCATATAAGGAGATGTAAAGTACCTGGTTGGGGTTCCCCAGACGGCAGGAATCAGTAATTTAGAACTCAGTCACAGTGGCGCAGACGTGTTCAATCTTTGACGTCTTCTAAGGCGTGAATATTTTTACTCACCTTTGTTTATTCTCTCGCACAACTTTTTCTACTTTAATATCAATCTTGTTTTATTCAGTTGTTATTGGTATCCTACTGTGACGTGTGCCAACCTGAACTTATGCACTTGTGTGAGAGGTTCTACGTTGATTTTGTTACTATCTGTCTGTCTGTCTACTAGAGCTATCCTCCAAGAAGTCTATCTGGGTTCAGCTCCCAAAGGTAACCAATGGCTAAGAACTGCAGCTCACTTATCTAGGTTGCTGACTTTTAGTCAGTGGGTAAAGAGTTTGAAACGCGCTCCACCTACCAAGATTTGGATAGCAAAGCTTTTTCATTTCAGATATTACGACAAGGTCTCTTTCGCAATCTATATATGAAGTTAGTCAGGGAACTGAGCAGTAATTAACACAGAATTGTCTACCATATCTAAAAAACAGTACTGTCCCACGTACAAGCCTTGTAATAAAAACACCATGTTTTGAATACATTAGAGTGTGTTCAAATGCAAAGCATGATATTGGTCAAGAGATATTTGACTTGAAGTAAGTGATAAGGATTTTAGTGAACTTATGAGACTGAAGAGAACTCATACAGTGTTAAGAAGAATATTGACCTCTAAGTACCGCGGGAAAAGGAAAGTATGGTTACTGCCAGATAACTTCACAAACAAATTTTGACGATACGAAAATCAGCATTTTCACGTCTTCAAAAACAGTGTGTTACTTGCATAAAAAGAATTATTTTTTATATACTTTGAATTGGTCAGAAGTACAACTTCCAGTCCAGCTTCTATAGTCATGGTAAAAAAAAATCCACGATGAATTTCTATTCTTGGTTTCATAGTCAGTTGTCGTCCCACCAAAGTAAGACGTGAGTAGACTAGTGTTTCAATCATTTTCATACCAACCATTGAAAACACCATACAAAAGATACTAAGTCCATACACTGAGACTTATCACCACTTTCAAAAATTAATAATAATAATAAACCCGAACCTAGTCAAGTTTTGACAGTGTAATAATTGCGTTTTACTATGAAAATATTTACACAGGGCAGCAGTAAGCTACAAAATGAAGATAATCTTTAGCAAATTAAGAGATCAATGTAATAGATTATTATGGTAAACATGGATTAATCAAGAGAAACGCAACCAATAGGTCAAAAGTAAAAATCAGAAAGAACTATTATTCTCATCGAACTAATCAACTAGGAATTCATAACTATGATCATCATACTGTTCAATACTCAAAATAAGTCAATCATATAAAACAGAAATGAACTAATTTTCTCATGATTTAAGGAAAGAATAGAAATCGTCCAGTTGTTAAGCAAAGTAATGAAGAATTATTCATAAGATTGAATAAAAATAGCTAAATAAGTTACAGAAGAGGTGAGAAGTATGAGTAATCGGGAAACGAACATTTTTTGGTTGATTTTCACTAACTGTGCATACTTAGAACTCCTGAACATTGGACTTTTAGTTGCAGTAGTGACAACAGTGACATTAGGAGTCAGACAATGATAAAAACAATCTGCCAAACAATGAATTTCAATATCAATTATAAAACTACAAGTGATACTTAAGAAGTCTATCAGAAAAAAATGTTACTTCTAAATAAAATACATTGGAAAGAATTAACTGTATTAAGGCGAATCAGTATGAAAGATGAATGTTTAGTGGAGCTCTCAAAGAAGGAACGTTCTAAAACAGTTTGATTTTCGGTTCTGTGGTCGAAATACTGCCTGTCCTCAGGCAATAAGTTTAGCTTACATGTTGGGTGTTGATTAACCTTTACAGTCACGTTGCGGCTCAGTGGTTCTAAGGACACAATACTCAGTTATGGTCATAAGTTCGATTATAGTACCCAATCTCAGTGCAAGTTTTGTTGATTGTCACAAAGTATTTGCCATTTTACGCCCTAATAACATTAACAGGTACCTGAATAATGAATAACACTCCTGTTTAACAAGACACCCACAATTACCATGCTAGACATTAAAAGGCTATGCCAGAATAGTCCAGCATAGTCGTTACGTGAAAGACTCATTTCTGCAACAGTGACATGGTAACATGAAGCGCAACTCCTGTTGTCATATTGCTTAGGGAATGAAAACTCAAAGTTATCCACTACAATGACAATATTTGAACGTTTTGCTTTATACAACAAGACAGCTTTTGATAGAGGTTGGTTACGTTGTAAGAAGCTTATTATTGTTTGTTAGGAAGTAAAGGCAAGGTGAGATCAAGTCAATAACCATACTTGAGGTTTATATGCACTTCTCGTAAACACGGTATTCATCCAAGGCTGTCTGCCTTAAATAAACCATATATAACTCACGAGGTTTCATTATACCAGACAACACTATGAAGGAGAACACGGTTGAACAAATAAAGAAATATCATACTCTCCACCTTTAATGGCCGTTTCCAGAGCTACAGAATAGAATGGGACAAACTGGTATGCAATACTGCAGAAGATTTGGTCGATACACCAACAGCCAGGTTTGGAACCTGGTTCACTATTTCCTGGTTGCAGTTGTAAGTTTGAGAACTAGAGAACCTAGAATCTGAAAAATGACTTTCGTTAAGCTGATTCCTGTGTAGTTATAAACAAGAGTATTTCTCTCCTTTATTGCATACTGGGAAAATAATTGACATTTAAAAAGTTATCACATCTGATTCGCATATCCCAGCTAATAACTCAGTCTAATCAACAGCCTTGTGTAAGTGATCCCAAACTTCTCTGATGATAGTCCATTAGTACCCGTGATCGTTTATCTTGAGGTATTCACAGCTCTCTCAACTCCTGTAAGAGTTAGATGAATCTCAATGGGCTGCAACTGGACACTGAGTAACTGGAGAGTAACCGAAGACTAACTAAGCTATTCCCTCAAGAATTTCACCCATTATTCCTGTAGCCTTCTATGCGAAAGAATTACGAATCCATTTGTTCCTTCTACAGTCTCACTTACCGCCAGTGTTTCGACTAAAGGTCCCCTTAAAAGTCTAAATATGTCTACCATTGCTTACCACTGTTGCCATGTCTATCCTTTTAGCTTTCGTTGTCTACCGCTTCTCATAATCATAACGAAGACTGTTTGTTGGTCCACATTTAATTAGTTGCAGCTTTCCGTTAATCTTTGAGCCTACAAGAGTACATTCAGACATATCCATCCATTTGGAGGAAGCTACTGATATCTTCTGGCCTTTTATAATCTTTTACTGAGTTTCAGTTACACTTTTTGTTGCTGTGGTTTCAAGAGACTGGAGACGGTGTCAAGTTTTTTTAATGATGTGACACGATGTCCCATCCACTAAGTTCTTTCGTTTCAAATGAGTAAATAAAATGATCAACATTTCATTTGAGATATTTTTAACTTACAGATGATAAATTTTATAGTGATTAGCGTGTCTTGTTTGCAGGAAACGAACAACATCATCAATGTGATTGCGATATACACCTTCCAATTTAGCAGCAGGAAACCCCATTGCAATAATTTTATTTGATATATAACTTAAATCTAAATCAAATCCATCCTGTTGGAAACGCTTCTTATGACGGCTAACAAGACCTTTTAATGTTTTCGGCATACTTCACCGCATGTGGGGCCACAGGACAGAAGTAATATTTCCGATTCCTGCGGAAATTTCTGGGAGAAAAGAAAAAAGTAAACGAATCACTATCGAAAATAACTAGTTTTTCCACTTTAGTCCTTTTAGTATATGTATCACAGTGAAACAGTATTACCTACTGGTGACTTCATCAGTAAATAATACCAATTCATCGAATTACGCAGATAAGAAATTCAATTTGTTTTACCACAGTCCAAATGCTACTAATCAAAAATAGACCTAGAGAGTAATAATCACGTTGACAAACAGTTCTGAGCATAGTAGAAAAAATCAATTATGCAGTGTTAACAAAACTAGCATTACCCAAACATTTACTCTGTACTACTGACGACCCACTTACTTTTGATGTGCTTTCATAGTTTTTTTCCAGTGAATACGTTTTTATTGTCTTCATATGATGAAAGAGTTCATGTGAAAGTGTAGGTAGGTATCACATGTCTAATAGGTAGTCAGTGTATACAGAATGTTCACCTACAAAAGTTGTAAAGTCCTATTGAAAACAGCTGGTACACATTAACTCCTGAGTTCTTAAGTCAGGAGTTTATTTCGATTTTTGGCTACTATAAAATAGCAACGTTTGGAGTCTCATGATTGTTTTTGGGGTAGTACTTAATCTTAAAATAATAGTCAGACAAAACTATCTGTTTCAATCTAGGCACCTGAGTAGTATCACAGGTCTTAAACAGCTTGACCATGAAATGGAATGGAAAAAGAACCAAAGGGAATACGCTTTAAGTCTACATTCCAGAAATTACTTATTGTACTGTTCTAAAGGCATTTAAAACAAATAGATTTAAATTACTACCTTATCCTGATCTGATTTATTCTGTATAATATCTTTACCCTTATGGTTGCTGCAAGTCCACCTACTTTTGGTAGATTTAACTAGTCGAGGACGTCTTCACTTGCCAAGTAGGTACTCGTATTAAGCTGCCATCTATGCGACACCCTAAACGACTATTCTCCAACCATCTTTACCGTCGACACTTTTCAACATAGGCATGATTACGTAGGTTCAGCAGTGCAGTGATAGTAAGGTCATTTGAAAGCCTAGCTATTTGTTAGTCAGTCAGTACAAACCGCAAACACAAACTGAACCTCAGAAAATCGTACCCACCACTTCAGTGAAGTTTACCACATAGGTTTTTTATATCCCAGATCCTAAAGTATATTTCAAGAACTACCAAACAAAGGTATCTAACCTTGGCATTCTCAGTGTTGCATAAAATGCTCGAAATAAAGTCTTTAGGTGGGTCCGAAATATCAGTAGGAGAAAGAAGTGAATGAAACCTAAAATCTGATACATGTATAATAGTAATACTTTATTGTTAGGAACATAATTTGATTATTGTTAGATGGATTCGCTTGTATTATCAGTAGTGTGGTTCATTTACTTGTGTACTCTACTTTCAACCAATAAGTCCATAGTGTATGCACCTCCTCACCCACTCAGGTCCGGGCAACAAAAGACCTTGCACAGGAAGTTTGATTTCGTTTAATAAATAAACATATGCACCTGTTTGAGTTGCGTTAAACAATGCAAACAAGCGATTGGCCAACGGTCAAATTTTACATAATCTCAATGACAACTTTTATCAGTTTGATTGAGTGTAATAGATATCATGTACGCTCACTTTGATGCTGTTTATTAACCTGAGGCCAATGAAATCCCTCGTTATATTACTCAGAAGCATGGGTAATTAACAAGAGTAACTAACTGATATAATCGACTTTCCTATCACCTGACCGATAGCTGGTACCTTGGCGTTGTGGTTGTTGTGTATACTACGATGACCCAACGAGCTATGCTGGTGGAACGCTTGTTTCCATGAGGTCCTACCATACCGTAAAGGTCTGTTGCATAGTGGTTAGACAGCATCACTGATCTCCTCAAACCACGCTTCAAATTACACATTGGAGCTTTCAATGTCCGCATTCTTCCTTAAATTGGCCAACAAGCTTCACTGGTCACAACTCTAGAAACTAAGGCCATGGATGTGAGCTGTGTTTATGAGGCACGCATGCATGACCCATGTGCGGTTATTCACTTGACCTCTCCCGGACAACATGGTGAGTCCGTAAAATTCACCCTTTGAGCTTCTGGAGATTCTCGCGGTCTTGCAGATGTAGGCATAGCACTAAGCACCAGGGCAGAAATCTCACTACTGAAATGGATCCCAGCTGATAGTCGCCTATGCACTATCCGGCTGAACGGCACAGTGACAACTGAACGGAACAGTGAATCTCACAGTTGTCTTTTTGTAATCTCTGCTTATGCACCCACTGACTGGAATTCGAATGAAGTGAAGGATGATTACCACAGAAAACTGTCTAGCCCCCTTATGGAGGCAAAATGTTCAGACGAGGTTTTTGTTGCAGATGATTTCAATGCACAAACGGATAGGCTGTCAGGCAGAAAGGCACTTTCGGAATCCCAACTGAACGAACACGTAACGGTGATCATTTACTACAACTATGATCAGATAACTCTTTATTTCTACCTAGTATAAACGTGGCATCCAGCAAGTTCAACTCAACGATGGACACAGAGTGACCGCATCGCTATCAGCAATCGCTGGAGAGGGTTGGTGAAAGATTGCCGGTCCTTTCGGAGCACGTATTTAAATAGCGACCACGCCTTGGTTCGAGCGCGTTTATGTCTGCATCTCAATGGACGTAGAAAACCTTTAGCGACATTACCATTACAAGTGCAACTCGACAATAAGAGCACTAAGACCGTTTTTAGTCAGAAACTGGCTAGGGAGTTTATGGAAAAGAACACTATCATCTATCCAGAAGAGGCTTCGTACCATCTTCAGTCTGCTGTAAAAACAGCGTCGAAGACTATAACCAACTCTTCAAGAGTGGTTGAAAAGAGCCAGTTGATATCAGTAGCTTCTTCCGAACTAATGGATGCACACCAAACCATCCCTGCCTGCAGGCTCTGAGTACAAAGAGGAGGGAACCCAACTCAAATGCAAACTGACAAAAAGTCTACGCAATGACCACTACCAGTGGTGGGCAGCGAAGGCTAATGAGATGGAAAAGACAGCGGTGGTAAATAACAGTAGACAATTATTTAGACTTATTAAGGAAACTGGTGTGAAAAGGCCAACGTTTAGTGAGACTATAGCGAGGAAGGATGGGTCTGCGATTCACTCACAAATGAGACAACTGAAACGATAAGTGGAACACTTCAAGGAACAGTTTAACTGGCCTCCAGCCACCATTGCGTTGCCCACTATCCAGTCGGATCCTGAATAGAACACAGAGATAGCCCCCCCCCCACACTAGAGAAAATCGAGAGAGCGATAGGTAACTTGAAACCAGGAGGGGCAGCAGGACCAGACGAACTAACTCCTCAGATATACAAGGATGGTGGTAGAGTGCTCTTAGTCAGATTAACGAAAATACTAACTAGTGTATAGGAATCAAATATGATCCCCTCTGACTGGTCTGAATCACTGATTATCCCAGTCTTCAGGAAAGGCGAGAAGTCCTCTTGTGATAACCACGGAGGAATCAGCCTGACGAACATAGTGTCTACGATTCTAAGTTCGGTAATCATTAGACGCATGAGTGGAGCTCGCGGATAGCAGGCCCGAGAAAAGCAGACAGGCTTCAGACCTAGCCATGGGTGTTTCGGCTACCACCAGGTTTTGGAACAAAGGGACGCTTACTGATACCCGACATTAGCTGTATTTTTTGACCTGAAGGTAGAATTCGACTTCGCAGACCGAGAATTCTCATGACAGTGTCTCATTGAAAGGGGTATCGAGTAAGTACATCACCTTATTGAAGGCTCTTTACTAGAACGCTTGTGGGCGTGTTAGAGTCTATGGTGAGATGAATGAGCTGGGCACGCCAAGTGGTGTCCGTTCACTCTCTCCATTCTTGTTCAATTTTATCGTAGACCTTCTTATGGATGTCTCCCTCTCGTCGTCTGACTATGCAGTGATTGACCTAATCACGGAACGTTTGGTAGACCTAGAATACGCAGATGATAGTCCTGTTAGGTGAAGACTTTGGCAAGATGGGGGAGGGGGTCTTCTAGACACCTTGAATGGCAATTTGAAGATATTTGAGATGAGTTTTTCGCCACCCAGATGCAAATTGTTATTCTTGGACTGATTCTTAACGCCACCCCAACAAACAATAGAGTGAAATGGTTGAGTTCGTTGAAGACTTCACTTACTTGGGAAGTCAGATCAGCCCTGATGGGTCAGTGGTTGACGAAACCTCTGCATGGATACAAAAGGCTCGGTTGGCTTCCGCCAACTTATGCCATCTGTGGCGCCGTCACAACATCCAATCGTCTAGTAAGGGTCGAGTGTGCTGTTCTTTTGTATGGGTGTGAAACATGGCCATTAAAGATAGAAAACAATGGAAGGCTTCAGTTATTCGACCACCGTTGCCTTTGTAGCGTGGTCCGTGTTTCGTGGTGCCACTACGTGAATAATGAAGAGGTTAGGCGTAAAGTTTTAGGGGGGGGGAGGTGAGTTAGTTGGTGCAGTTGTGAACCTTCATCGACTGAGATGGCTGGGACACGTGTTACGCATGCCTAGCCAGCGTCCGCCTCGTCATACAATGTTAGCCGAAGTAGGTTCAGGCTGGAAAGGGCTTGAGACGACCAGACTGAAATGCATGAAGTTTTTGATTGTCAGTATGAGCCATGTAGGGCGATGCAGACTAGCCGGTTGGGATCCGCGAGACAAGAGAAGCCAGTAGTTGGAGACGCTAGGTGATACGCCTAAGAACTGATGGCACTGGCGTAGACGCATACACACATTATCCTCATCTTAATCGCTATACTCAATCTCATCATCTCATTTTTTCTCCCTCTCTTTTACTACTTTCTACTTTGTTTAACCGGTTTTTCTTTCACCTTTCATTTTATTGCCATGCTACTTGATGTGCTGAGATGAGATGTGTGGTGACTTGGACCGTTACGCATTAATGCCTAAACCTATGTTGATCTTAATGATGATGATGACTATCACGTTACACCAGTAATGCTTCAGCCCATAACAACCACCACGTTTATTAGCAAACAACTAACCTCCCTAATCAGGTTAGTGAGAAACGTTTCACTGCTACATAGTCATTTGAGTATGCATATTAACAGTTTTCGTACAGAAGAAATTTTTGTCAGCAAAGTTCATTTTTCAATCTCAGGACAACTGGGATTGTCATCTATAGGTGTGATATTAGCAGCAACTTTGGGGAAAAACAAAAGTGGTCCATAACTAAATTTTGTTCATCCACCGTTCAACTTTTCAAAATGAGTCATTCATATTGACGTTTTAACGCCTACAGATATTATGAAGGTGGATAGGATACAACACAGAAAGTTCATCCTCATAAGTATTTAAGAACGTTAATAAAGGATCACCAGCATGGCATCAGCTGAAGTAAGAGAGATATTTTTGCACACTAGTTTTCTTTTTGAACCGTTTGAATTAATAACAAAGCATAGATATCACCACAAGGTATTCTCAGATCAACTAAGCGTATATAATTCTAGGATACACAACCATTTGATGCCTAATAGTAGTTCGAAAACGAGATATAATGTAACGTAACTGGTGTTTATATTATATAATGATTAGAACTTTATTCACAACAAGATTCTGAAACCCAGACAGACTCAATGGTTCATTACACCAAATACACTAGACGCAAAAACGGTATGCACCAATTAAACCGAGAATTTTTACGAGTGTGAAATCCCAAACAGCCATATCAGCTGATAAGAGTTCTATGATCGAAAGCAATTAGTCTTGTAGCAACATTTATAGTGGCCATTCAAGGTGAGGCAAGCTCCAAGCATCAAACATAGCACTTAATAAAGTGTTATATTTTGTGTCACTACAATGTGGAAGCGGAAAGAGAAGTCAGAAAAAGAAGATATGCACAGACTTACAATATATGTATGATGAGCGACAAAATGCAAAAGATATCTGAAGCAAGTAATGAATGTAACTGAGTCACTAAAATCGGATTTGAGCCATGTCATTCAATCATTAGTATCACCGTGTGGACAACGGTAACATGTATGAACTTATTTGTTCGCTAGTAAACTACACTGTAAATTTTTTTCTCTTCCGAGTTGGAATTTTGTTTCTGTACCAGAATACTGTAGTGACTTTTATCGATTTTTCAATCCATATCGGTAGCTCGTATGTGCCATCCTTTTTAATGGCTTTTTACTTTAATATGCAGTTTACTAGTCTTGTTCCTGTAGAATATGAAAAGACAAACGCGAAAGCTGTAACCTGGTCTTCAACTACTGCAATAAAGTTAATTAATTCTTTTATCCAGTTTTCTCTAATATCTGGGCTTTGCCATCACATAGCAATTGGTTCTTGTATCATAAAATGACTCGTATCACTCAGTTAGTTACTCAAGAATTTCAAACATTCCAACGACAGTCACAGACCTGATACATTGATGTCAAGACTAAGTATAGTCAGTTTAAATTTCATAAATCAACGTCAATCTCAGCATCGTTAAACTCCAGGACAGATGGCAGGCTGGTATGCGTAACATGTTGGGTCGACTCAGAAGCGGTGAGTTTATGAACGTGGCCAAGCTCTCCTCTCTTTCCAAAAGGTAAATGCCTAACTTCAACGTTCCCTTTCTATTAGTCATATTGACTTTTAGACTTCCTTGAACTTAGCTACAAGGAACTGCATTAAGGACATTAAAAGGACCTGATTTTAAAGAAATTTATGTTACTGGTCTCAGTGAAGTTCTTCGTAAAGGTTCACCTGCCGGCCCCAAAAGCATGTTTCACGAAGCATGTGACATCATGACTACCTTTTTTAAACAATTTTTCGGTAATGATCCAACATTTCTAAAAAATACTAAACGAAACTTTCGGTAGCATCTTAAAAGCCTGTTGAGATACTAGGATGAGCTTCTATAAATCAGAACAGTTTTGAAATCGAAGAACTACACTACTGTTAGATGCAGTCCTAACTAATCCAAGGTAGCGGCTGTTGAAACTCAACCACCATGAATCAAAATGTAACACGTGGATAGAAAGCCAATAAACAACCTCCAAAGATTCCTAAGACAATAAATCGGTTGGCAGCTCAGCTACGCCATTGCTCCAATAACATCTATCATAATCTCATGCTGGATGGTTGATCAGTACAAACTCACAGTCAGACCAACATAGAAGTTTGAGTAGAAGCGCACCAGTTAGTTTTTACGTAGGTAGACCATGGAACTATTTGATTTCACCAAAAGCATGCAAAAACCATCGTGACAGGAGCCCATTGACTGCAATCATAGTTTGTAGATTCTGCAAGAAGTATAAGGAAGTTAATTGAAAGAAGCGGATCAAAATACCAACAAGTGACACACGGATGCGTTTCACTTTTACGGCTTAGTCCTTTTCAGTTCAAAATAAAATGATCAGTTATCTATTTTTAATTTGCATCCAGTGACCAAACAGCACAGTGCAATAAGCATGTATAAAATTAGATCACTTTTTAAAGTGAGATGCTTGCAAAATATTAGCCTTGCCTACAGAAAAAAGCTGAGATTTTGACACCGAAGAATAACGTAATCTTCAGCAACCGGTCACAGATCAGTACGCACACAGGGCTGTTTCAGACAAGCTTGAGTTAGACAATCAGGACCTGTGCGCATGAAATATGGGCAAGTATGGCTCCTGCCACTCATCGTTAGTGGGTGAACAAAACCCAAAGGGTAAGAAAAACTAAGGAACTAAATAACTACTCATACAACGACCACATTCAAGGTCACAAGTGAACATTAAGGCTGAGATCAAGTGTCAAAAAAGTAACTCAGACATCCCACTAAGGGTAGCTTAGTGTACAAGTGTTGTCTGAAACACACAGTTGAACGCGAGCGCCGTACTACTGAACGAATAACTGACTTGAGCATTTTATTTAGTCACCAATATTCAGAGAGATGCTATTCCTCACTAAGTCAATATCCGAACAAAGTACGTACTTATGTATCGGGCTGTTTTGATGTTTTATGGCCTTAAATCCGACATTTGTTTTATTCATACGTGAAAGTTTAAGCTGGGTATTTTTTTTTGTACTAATTCACATTTGCAAATCGACCGATTCAGATTGATCATACGAATGTTTCGATACATGGGCCGTATAAAATAAGGTACAAACGTGGCATATACATTAGAGTGGAAAAATTTAAAATTTAACACTGTCAATTTAGTTTAGAATATATAGGAGTTAATTTACGCACATTTTTCACTTCGATTACACCAGTAAACTTAAGTATACTTCATTACATCCATAAAGCAATTCAGTAGCATATATTTGACAACGTTCAAGAATGAATAAGTAGGATGACAAAGCGAATCATTGGGAGATTATACAATAGCACTTACCCATAGAAACAACCTTCCGACCTTGAGTCAAACAACGCACATTTTTGTAAGAATTTCCAATATCCAATATTGATAGTGCGAGCGTAGAAAACTGGTAGTTTTTGATCTCTCGCGTCTAGTTCTTAGGGCTTGGTTCCAGTTGTTCGGTTCACTCCTGCAGTGGACGAGGAAATCCTCTCTGCTTTCTTGCTTTTAGCTTCGGTGAGGTGGATGTTTTGTGGGTTAGTAGGTTGTAATTTGTAGAGTGATTAGGGAGCTACGGGTTGCTGGGAAGTTTAGAGAACTGCCGTGACTCCTGTCTGTGTAGGTACCTGAAAGAGAATAGTAAGGTAGTGGTAAAGGAATGAAGAGAGAATAAAGAAAAAATAATAAAAACAGGAAAAAAATTTGAAAGCTTTCACATGGTTCAAATGGTTGTTGACTGAGAAGAAGAGGTTTTTAATTGACTGGAATCTGCGTCTGGAATCAATGAATCGCTGGTTGCATTGGTTGTTAAACTGTGCAAAAACAACAGGGGGAAAAAAGGGTGGTTTTAAGTGAGATTCCACCCACATCTTAATGATTCATCAAGTTGGCGTATATGGGACTCTGCCAAAGTACCTGGACCACTTCCGCAGAAAAAGCGTTCCATGGTTTACCAATTCGTATTGCACGTGAGGTGTTGGAAAGATGACTTGATGTTTATTTCTGTTTTCTCGAAAAATGTAAAGAATTGATACTAAAAAATAACATGTAAAAGAATTTTCACATTCCTAGTGAAAATGGTGCCTCGCTTCGCATGTGAAATGGGAGTCTAATCGTCTAATTTCCTTGGTTACACCAACGACAGTGAAAGGCGCACGGTCATCGACAGATAAAACGGCGGCTATCATAAACTATCCAAAGCTGATCACTGTAAAGCGGCTTTACACTTCCACTGACCTAGTAAGTCATTCCCGAAGTTTCACTCCTAGTTGTCCTTCTATTATGGCACCGCTCACAGATCCACTTCTGGGGACTACGAGGGGCGTGTCTCCGGGCAACGTGACCACACTTGCTTTCTCTGGGGTTGAGGAAACCATCGCGAACGTAACTACGCTTATTCATCACAACCCTTATACTCCTTTGAACAATGCTGTTGATGCGTCCGACTTGGCAATCGGGGGCGTTTTGCAACAGCTGTCTGACAACCAGTGACCGCCTTCAGCCTTTTTCTCAAGGTGGCTGCGTGAGGTGGAAACAAGGAACCGTAAATTTCGTAGGGAAATCCCATCTGTATACTGTACATACTATATACTCCATCCTCGACATTCGGCAGAAAGTTAGCAGTTCGCCACTCTCACAGACCACGGACCGCCAGTTTTCCTTCTTTGCCCCGCATCTGATAAGTACTCCCCGTGTGAGTTGCAACAGCTGGGTAACATCTGGTTCAAACCAGATACCTGGAACGTTTCCGGGGCAAATAACTACATAGCCAATCCATGGTCTTAAATGGCCCTGGCAAACTGCATCAAAAGTATTGATCCTGCTAAATTAGCTTGGTTTCACAAAACAGATACTGGGCTGAACTACGAGTTGTCGTTCACAATTCCCAGGCTTCATCTGTGTCCAGTAAGATCAAGTAAAGTTACAACTTTTGGCTATGTCTTCTCTTGTCAACCGCACCAATAGTTCGCGAGAGATGTTGACGCAAAGTTTTCCACATGCTGCATAAACTGCATCATCATAAGGGCTCACCCACGGCGTTTCTGCCCACCTGGGATGAACAAAGACATTAAAAATGGGCTCAATGGTTGGTAGCTTGTCAGGCGTGCAAAGCTACTCGACACGAGAAAATCCTTTGCGTTCTTTTCTAGCCCCAAACATCCTTGTAGATATTGTGATATGCCCACAAGAATCTAATGGAAGCGCTTAGATTTTCACTTCCATGCAGGGCTTTACGAGATGACCAGAAGCAATACCTATTCAGGATGTTGCTGCTGAAACTGTGGCTTGTGTTTTCGCTGAAAGATGGATCATGGTGCGTTCAGTTAGGCCCACAACAACTCGACTCCAAACAGCTGATGTCTTCGTTCACCCCATTTTGCAAAAGACATCATGCTTTTTCACACGCCACGATGTCGTTTGTCAACCGCATGGACAATCTTAGGATGGGCCAATCAAAGTCATCAAGCTGCCCGGAAAGTTTCACATGACCGGATGAAACGGGTGTAAGGATGCCACTAGCATTATCCCCTTGAAATTAACTTACTTCAAGGGTAACACCATCGCAGGTGACGTTTCTGCTCACCATAGCCAGCCGACGGATAGCCCAACTATTGGAATTCTTGGAGATGTGCCTGGTAACACACTAATGTAAAAATCACCTGCATAACAAAAACACGATCTGCTCAAAACACCAGGTTTCTGGATTATCTAAGGATATGCTCAGCTGAGTAGTGCCGGGTAAAAGTGTAATAATTATGTTCAACTATCACAATTATTCGGGGCACCGTGTTCATCAGAAAAGAGAAATTGTTCCTACACTTAATCTTTCTATCGCCAGCTTTTGGTACCACGTAGCCACACACTTTTCAGAAAACAACAGAAATAGGCATCAAATTTTTATATGATTTTTTAAGTGTGGGGTGTAAACGTTTCCCTTCTCGTGGTATTAAAGGTTGTTGTTACTATTTTCGGCGCGACCAGCACTGAATGGAACGTCATGGCACACTGGGAACCGGCATGCCACTCGACTTACAGTTTCTCCTCCTCGACTACATCCTAGAATAAGCTCAGACGGCAAGGAGCCACTCTTCTTAGTCAGCCTAGCGAGAGAGTTTTACAAGAGGTGAAACCACCGAAATTTTGCCCCTGGATGGTAACGTCCTTGAGTCCTCATGGACGCCCTAGGTGTGAGTGACCTGTGGCAGCCCATAGTCTGCCGAAATCAACAGTGTAGGGTTCGGAGAGATTCAACATTGGCACGGACCTTCATAGTCTCATCAGACTGTTTAAGCTGAAGGCATATTGTCATGCAACCCCACCACTGAGCACACTTCCGCCTTACATTGCATTGCTCGTAGTCGACTCTCTGGTCAACTAGTCGAAGCGGACCGGCAGACATGACCTATCAAACATAATATTCCCAGCTCACTACGTTTACACTTGTGTATCCACCTTGGTCTCGAATTCGTGAGTACATTACAAGTACGGATAATTCGCGAATGACCTAGCCGTTTGTCAAGTTCCACAAGGATAAGTTTTAAAAACTCTAAGGGAGTAGATTTTGTGCTTGATACTCTATCTGGTGTGCTCCGCGCTTAGTTCAGTAAGTGGTAGAGAGGTTCAGGAGTGCTCATGGCGTTGTGGACCATTATCAATCCTAACCTTAGCTTTCAGCACTCCAGAGCATAAGTGTCAAATGCAGCCAGCCGCTTCCCATACATTTTAAACCTAAGTTCCCAGCCAGTTTCTTCAATCATCCCTGAATCTATACCACGCCCAGTGGCTCACTGATAATAGATTATCCTACCGTAAAGAAGGGGAAGGCTGTCGTGCCGAATCCCAGGTGAGGCCACATAAAGCCGTTGAAAATTTGGTGGGAACGGCTGCAGTCGAACTGTGTAAAAATTTGTTGCTGATTAATCAACTCCAAGTTTCTAAAAATGCGTTTCTGCCACATTTGCCCCGCATTTTAAGTGCTGAGTGACGAAAACGCCCAATCATTCTCCATATGCTGTGCTTATAGTTTCATTCCTTTGAGGTCATGCACATCGCATGCTTACGATTTACGATCTTGCATCTTCAGGTTTAAGTACGAGCTCATAACGCATTCCTCTAAGAAGACGCTACCGTCCCGACTTCCGATTCTCCTCCATCGTTTCAGGTCGTCGGCAAAAAGAACGATTTCAGCAGAAACATGTTGAGGCAGGCCATTCAAGCACATAAAAGAAGTGGATCCAGTACTCGATTAACTGCCACGCGGGTATGAGGACAGCTGGCTAGTGAGCAGTTGTTTGATCGGGATCAATTTTGAGTGATCGGTAGGACAGTAGTAGTTAAAACGGGAGAAAAACGAGCACTGTGGCAGAATGCAATTCCGTTTTTGTCGGTTCAACGGATGCACCGCGAAGTGGAACGGCATTATCTACTGACTCCGTTACGAACACAATTTTCTGTCCGCAGCCATAACAAGACTCATTCATGGCTCATATGTATGCGTACAAATATATTTATATATATATATATATATATATATATATATATGATCCACGTCTGAAAGTTGTGTGGTTATCCTGACGTGAATATGGACAGTAAATTATGTCCGAAACATAATCCACTAAATAATGCCGTCCTACTGTTTGATAAATATGACGGCTGCAGCATAATCAAACGCTTTGGTTCGGAACCAAAATATTGATCGCCTGGTGGCCAGTGGTTTGGGATGGTCGATAATGGAACGGAAGCTATCACTGCAATGGCTTCCGTATCTAGAGGACGTGAACTAAAAATTCCTTCCGTTGTTTAGTGGTGCACTTAACAAAGGATGAAAAAAGGACGGGGATTAAAGGGGAAGTAGAAAGTTGGTATAATTGTTTTTTTATCATGCGGTCGTTGATTCGACCAAACTGATTGGTCTCCATTGGCATATGGGTTCCTGTGTGGATGACATTGCCTGCGTTCCAATTATATTATTGATGGATCGTGGCTCGCAGTGGGATCCAGGATTAACAGTTCGTCCTATTCGGGGCTCGTTGGCTTGATGTACCTGCTCCCCGGTGAGTGGTGTTGACCCCAGCGGAATTCGGATTGGGAACGATCACTTTAAACGACAGGGTGTTTTCCATTACACCACCCAGTCGCGATAGCCACTTCTCGCCCACAGCAGCCCATATGCCAATGAAGACCGATTAATTCGGTCCAGTCAACGACGGCGTGATATGAAAACAGTTATACCGAAGCTGTGCCCGCCACACGAGAAGCGGCGATCGTGGTAAATCCAGCTGACAAGTCCCAAGTGGGAACAAGTGCGCACCCTCGATTCCACTGCTAGACACGATCCATCGGAAATAGAAAGTTAGTCGT